AGTGCTTGCCCACAAAAGGCATTCAGTAATTGGTAGCTATTAGGAGCAAAACAGCAACCGTCTATATCAGTGGTTCTCAACCTGTGGGTTGCCAACCTGTGGGTCGCGACCCTTTGGGGGTCGAACAACCCTTTCACAGGGGTCGCCTAAGACCATCAGAAAACACATATATAATTACATATTGTTTTTGTGATTAATCACTATGCTTTAATTATGTTCAATTTGTAACAATGAAAATACATCCTGCATATCAGATATTTACATTACGATTCATAACAGTAGCAAAATTACAGTTATGAAGTAGCAACAAAAATAATTTTATGGTTGGGAGTCACCACAACATGAGGAACTGTATTAAAGGGTCGCGACATTAGGAAGGTTGAGAACCGCTGGTCTATATGCTATTGACTTCGTTATAGAAGAAATGAAATAGAAGATGGAATTGACCTGTGTTTCATTTTACAGGTATAAATCTTTATCTGATACACACTTTTGGATCCAAATATTATCCCAGCTGAAGTTTAAAACTCAGGAAAAAAATTGGTTTATTTCCACTTAGAACCCTCAATAACTTACAAAGCAACCTGCCAGTCTTGTAATTTTCTCTTGCCAATCCTCAATGTCTTTTACCAATTGTTAACTGATATATAATGGCCTGGCTATCAAGTTACCCCAAACAAAGTGGCTAAAATAACAATCATTTTATTACAGCTCAAGTTTGTGGATTAGGATTTCAGGCAGTGCTTAACTGGGCTATTCTTCTGTTCCATGTGCGATCCACTGGGATTACTGGTTGACATTCAGCTGGTGTCTGGATTATTCTGGTGGGTTCAATGCCTGAGGGTTGCTAGAAGGCTAGGCTCAGGTGGGCCCTTCTGCATCATCATGTAACCTAAGGACCTCCCCATATGGTCTTCCCATCAGCCATACTTGGAATGTCACTGCTGTCTGGAACCCCCAAATTAGCAATCAAGAGTGGCAGTAACTTGGGTCTATGCTCCACTTTTCATTGTACTTACATGTGCGTCATTTTACTCAAATTGTAGAAGGAATGTGATTCTAGCCGCTGCAGAGTTGTATCTATGGATAAGTAGCTGAAAATCACAAAAATATAAGACGAAGTAAAAAGTTAGTAGGGTTGTGAACTCCAAGAATACTGTTTTGATGTAACATCTTTGTCATGGGCTTCCCAGATCATAAAACATATGCAAACCTCATGGTTTCTCCCTAATTATGTTATAATTAGTTACTACTATTTTTAGATCCTGTGACACCTGAAAGTTTCCCAATACATGAAGTCCTATTGACCTTTCAGGTTTCATTTAACTGATACTTCTTTTAGAAGCTTTTCCCAAATTTCCTGATTGGTTCAAATTTACTGTAATATATCCTCATATTACCATGAATTCCTTTCCCTAATTATCACAGAGCAACTTGGCAACTCTTAGGATGATATTTGATTTGTGTTGTCTCATTACACTGAAAATTCTCTGAAATGGAGAACCATGTTGATTTCTGGTGGCCGCTGAATCTTGAGTCCCTATCACAGTGCTTGACATGTAGTAGATTCCCAATAAATATGTATTAAGTGAATGAATGAATAGGTGAGTTGCTCAAAAGAGCACAACACGAAAGACATGGAAAAAATGAATGAGACATTTTTAATGGAGTACCTAATAGTATGGAATTAGAGAGGTAGTTTCAAAGAAGATGAAGCGAAATCCACATTGCTAGTGGAACATTCCAGAGGGTGGTGACTACATATTATCTCTACTTCTATTCTTGATTTTGATGAAGTTGAAAATTTAAAGTTTGTTTTGAACTTCGGGAGCAAAAGATAAATAAAAGTTTTTAAGTACTAAAGTGGGGGAAAGAGAAACGTCTATCTATAAGAATACATAAGGAATGACATTTCAAATAATCTCCTCAAATTCCATCTTGTAATGAGAATGACTAACACAGCCAAATTCAGTGATTGATTTTTATTGAGAGTCATTTCTATGACATTTGGGAAAATTAACAATTGACAGATGATGTCCACATGTAGCCCTAGTGAAGATTCTCAACTCTGGCCATACAATTGAACTATCTGGAAGGTTTTTATAACACAGATATGTCTAAAACTTGGTCCAGGACAATTAAGTAACTGTTTCTGAGGGATGGGACAAACACTTTTATTATATAAAGCTTTTCAGAGGACTCTAATGTGTAGGCATGGTTGAGAACCACTGGTGTATACTGAATCTGTCAGTAAAATATTTTCATTAACACAATGTTATTAAGAAGACCTCTGACTGTTACATTTGAGTTTTTACCATGGTTATTGTGAATATTCTAAAGGTCCTGTGATTTTTGTTTTGTATGGCCTATTCTGTAAACAGTTATCCTTTTGATTTATCAGGTCTCCTAAGATATTGCCACTTGTGGATAACGTTACATAAATTATTTTGATCCAAATATCATCTCTAAAACATAGAGAAAGCAATAGGAGATGTTGAAAAGGATTAATTTATTGTGTAGAGATTGTGGGGATTTATAATGGATAAAGCTGAGCAATCTGAAAGACAAGATTAATTTTGAAGGCTGCGAACTTGTTCATCTAACTTTGCATCATATCCATTTGCTCCAAATTTTCTCTTGACTTTGTTAGTTCAGAAGTGCAGAGCTTTCTCAAGGTTTTATTGGGGGAGCCAACTTGTAGGAACCATTTATCAGAAGGATGAAAGGAGTGATTCTCTACTTGCTAATCCCATTTTTATAACCAGGAAAACTCAGATCCTACTTCTTCCTCAAATTTTTTCTTACCATTTAAGTCTTATGTAATCACTAGGGTGAACATAACATTTATCATCCAAAATAGGATATTTTTGTGAGTTAAAACAGGGTGCTAATAGTATGCCAGAATACTAGGTGAGAATTTGTACTGTCCCAGGAAAACCTACCTAGGGTCTCCTTGGTGATCTCTCTGTTGCCCCCTAGATATATCTTTGATGATTATTCATGTATGATGTATGTGTGTGTGCTTTCATTCAACAAATTACCAAACAGACATGTTCCCTAGCTTCCAGAAACTCACAGCAATGGGAGGTACAGGCAGGTAAATGGGATTAACATATAGGGTGATAAATGCTTTGATGGGGTTCAGGACACACTTAACCCAGACTGGAGAATCTAGCACAGTCTCCCTGGAGGAGTCTTCAGCAAGACCTTTAAATATCTCAGTCAACCTGCTTTCTTTAATTGCTCATCACGTTCATTTCAAACCTTTTCAAATTTCTAACTCTGCCAGCTCTACCCTCAATATTAGTACATACTCTTTTTATTTTTTTAAATTTATTTTATGGTTGAGAGTATGCTCTTTTAATAATTCATAGAAAAGAAAGAAACCTTGAGATAAGGATTTCTTGAATTCCCTTCCAATAAGCCTATTAATTTACCTGCACCTGCCCCATCTCCTATTATTACTTTCTTATTGCATTGTAAAAAGTCACCATCTTTGGTAGAAGGTCAATCCCTCTCCTTGGTGCTCTTAAAAATTGTTCTTTCTTCACTTTATTTTAGCCTCTCCCTCTCTACTGACTCCTTTCCCTGTTCCCAGTTACAAATACCTGATCATGATTCTCAAGTCTAGTGTCCACCCAGATCTTATCCTTAAGAACCCCAACATACCCACTTCTAGTCCTCCTTACTCGGCTTTTTTTTCTTTTTACCATATCTGCAAATTCCTTCTAAATTAGTATATATATATTTGTTATGTTTTTGATTCATTGTCTGTCTCCTTCCATTCAAATGCAAGCTCCACAGGGGCACAGATCTTTGTCCGTTTGTTCCCTGGTATAGGTCTATCTTAGGACAACAATTGGCACATAATATGGACTGAATAAATATTTCCTGAATGAATGAATGAAAAAATTATGTCCTAATGTCTACTTCAATGTGCCAAAGGCACCTCAAATGTCATATGCCCCAAAATGAATTCCTAACTTACCGCCTGCATCTCCACAGCAAATGTACGGAAAACTTCTCTATCTTGGCAAATATGCTCATCAACCACACTGGTGTCCGAGTCAGAAATTGAATGAAATTCTTCTCCATCTCCCTCCCCTTCCAAATCAATCAACTTTCTAATTTATTATGTATTCCTATTTATTTCTCAAATCTGGTCACTTTTTCTTTATTCCCAAATAACCACACTCATTCAGTTCTCCAGCTCCTCTTCCCCAGGGCCCTGACTCAACCTCCTCACTGGCTTCCTGTCTTCAGTCTTGCTCCACTTCTACTCTTGTCCACAGCACAGTCAAGGGAAGGTTTCTAGAACATCTGATCTGTCACTTCCCTATTGTAACCATTCAGTGGCTTGGCCTTAGGGAAGATTTCAAACTCCTTCCAATGATTCTCAGGCCCTGCTTACCTCTTCCCAATCTTATTTTTCTCTACTGCTCCTTCCCAGCCTCAAGAAGTTTAGTTTAATTTTACAGACAGCCAAGGCTTTTCTCTTCTTCTTGGAACTCTCTTCCTACTTATTTTTTATTCAATTATTTGCAGATTGCAAATTAGGTGCCATTTCCTCTAGGAAGCCTTCCCTGACTACTCCCCACCATCCAGGTAATACACCTCCCATATGAGTCTCCACAGACAAGGGAAGACACAGAATAGGCAATTGTATAAGGGAGATGAGGGAAAAGGAAGAGCTGTAGGGGAATTTGAAGTTTTTAGCTTACAAGCTGTTAAAAGGAGGAGTAGGGAAGGAGCAGTTTAGGGGAAGATGAAGAGTTTATTTTGGGATATACTGAGTGTGTCCTGCTTGTGGGACATCAAGGTGATGATATTGGGAAGGAAGGTTGTAATGCAGGCCTGAGCTTTTAAGAACAGGTCAGGACTGGAGATACTCACGTAGGAATTAGTTATATTAGGTAATAGTGAAATCAGACATCATTGGCTACATTTATGGCAAAATGTAAGCATTCGTACCAGTGGTAAAAAGTGAGTCAAGAATCGGCAATTAGGATAGATCAATTATAGACAGAGAAATCTGTTGATGGGAGAGATTCCCAGCTAAGATTTTGCCACATCCCAAGATATATTAAAATACATTAAGAATTATTAAACGTTCAAGACCAAATGAATTAAAATTTATTTTAGCTTTAAAAAATCATTTAGGAATTAGGGAATGGAGATGTAGCAAAACAAAATAAACATTTCAAACATAAAAATTTCATATACATTGCATATGTAGATTATTTTTCTGGACAGAGCACATTTGGAACATAGCATGTCACAATTGCAAACTTTTTTATATTAAAAAAATGACTTACATCCTGGAAATATTGGGCAGATTTGAAAATGCATGACTGGGAATGGTTTTCAGATGAGTCTCTGTAAACTTCCTATAAAAATAAGTTACACAATTAAAATTTTATTCATTGGACTTTTCTAATAACTCATCTTAATTATACAAAACACATTACTAGAGGCATGATGGTTCTTACAATATGTATTTCATCTTATATAATAAAAAAATTAATACACAATGAAAAAACAAAATACAATTTTTTCTCAACAAAACAAGAATTAAGAGTGAGAATCAAATGTAGAAAATAAATCTTTAAACTTCATCTCTGAATTAGCAGTAAACTGATATGCTGTGTCTAACATCATATTCAGTTTGTTAACTAAAGGGCAACGTCATATATTCATAAGTTTATCAGGACTACAGAATTCATATCATGCACTTGTCAATGGAAATGTCTTGGAATGCCATTAGAATATTAAGGGTAACTAGAGGCCTGGTGCAAGGATTCATGCACTGGTGGGTTCCCTTGGCCTTGCCTGCACCCTCTCGCAATCCAGGACCCCTCAGGGAATGTCGGAGGCCCAGTGAACGGATTCAGCCCAATCCCCACAGGCCAGGCTGAGGGATTCATGTACCGGGCCTCTAGTATGCATGTAAGATCTTTGGTTAATCTCTTCCCACCCTCTCCCCTCCCCACTTCTCTCTGAGATTCATCAGTCTGTTCCATGTTTCCATGCCTGTGCGTTGAGCGTCTGCCCCCTGGTGGTCAGTGCACATCACAGCTACTGGTCAAACGGTTGTATGGTCAAACAGTCACTTAGGCTTTTTAATATATATATATTAACACTTGGATTGCGGGAAACGAGTTAAGTCGGCTCGCGTGAATTGCGCGTACTCTGCGGGAGCCGTCTTAACTCGGTTCATATAGATTTGCGGTGGAGTGCGGGAAACGTGTAAACTCGGGCCGATTGTAACTGCGTATTACCAAATATTTGTTTGTTTGCCGTTCACAAAGATACCTACCTGTGTATGCGAACCGTTTCATACCCATTGGAGTAATAGGTATCATAAAAATCCCTTGTAAGTAGAGAACACTTTATGGCGCTGGTCGAGTACAATACCGTTAGGGTACCAATGTATTGTTTTCTCATTTTATAACCGATATCCCTGGATATCTCACCATGCAAAGAGAATAGTTATTGAGAAATACTTCTTGTGTCCGGACGTCTTTAGTTTTGAGTTTTGTGAATATTATTACGTGTTTAAATATTTAAATATATTGTGATAAAGACATTCATATAGAATTTTTTAACCAAATAAAATAAAATCATTCCGCAAAGTGTTCGCATAATAATTATTTTTTTATATCAGATATCTATCGGAGTACCGCTATTTTCAGTTAGTATTATTTTTATTTGCTTTAACCTAGAATGTCGCAGCATTCAGACTATAGTGATGATGAGTTTTGTGCAGACAAGTTGTCCAATTATTCTTGTGATAGCGATCTTGAAAATGCGAGTACAAGTGATGAAGATTCTAGTGATGATGAAGTAATGGTGCGTCCCAGGACATTGAGGCGACGAAGAATTTCGAGCTCCAGCTCTGACTCAGAGTCAGATATAGAAGGCGGGAGAGAAGAATGGTCGCATGTTGATAATCCACCGGTCTTAGAAGATTTTTTAGGGCATCAAGGATTAAACACAGATGCTGTTATAAATAATATAGAAGATGCCGTGAAATTATTTATCGGAGATGATTTTTTTTGAATTTCTTGTAGAGGAGTCAAACAGGTATTATAATCAAAATAGGAATAATTTCAAACTTTCAAAAAAAAGCCTAAAGTGGAAAGATATAACCCCTCAAGAGATGAAGTTTTTAGGGTTAATTGTTCTCATGGGACAGGTGCGCAAAGATAGAAGAGATGACTATTGGACCACGGAGCCATGGACGGAGACGCCATATTTTGGTAAAACGATGACGAGAGACAGGTTCCGACAGATATGGAAAGCTTGGCACTTCAATAATAATGCGGATATCGTAAATGAATCAGATAGACTTTGCAAAGTGAGACCAGTACTAGATTATTTTGTGCCTAAATTTATAAATATTTACAAACCTCATCAGCAATTATCACTAGATGAAGGGATCGTACCTTGGAGGGGAAGATTATTCTTTAGGGGATATAATGCTGGCAAGATCGTTAAATATGGAATATTGGTTCGTTTGTTGTGCGAAAGTGATACAGGATATATCTGTAACATGGAAATTTATTGCGGCGAAGGAAAGCGATTATTGGAAACGATACAAACAGTAGTGTCTCCATACACTGATTCGTGGTACCATATATATATGGACAATTATTATAATAGCGTCGCAAATTGTGAAGCACTTATGAAAAACAAATTCAGAATATGTGGAACAATCCGGAAAAATCGAGGTATACCTAAAGATTTTCAAACAATTTCTTTGAAAAAAGGTGAAACAAAATTTATAAGGAAAAATGATATATTGTTACAAGTGTGGCAATCAAAAAAGCCTGTATACCTGATTTCTTCGATTCATTCTGCGGAGATGGAAGAAAGTCAGAATATTGACAGAACATCAAAAAAGAAAATTGTCAAACCGAATGCACTCATTGACTACAATAAACATATGAAAGGTGTTGACCGGGCCGACCAATACCTTTCATATTATTCGATATTGCG